AAAGTCAGGTGAAGTGAGCTAAGTGCTCGAGATGACAGGAATGTGCGTTCAATTGTTACGGATTCAAGAGTAATGACAAAATGTTTTTCTTTTTACTTTTTTTTTTGTCTCGAGCTGCCGAAACAAGTTTGAGATTTTATTTATGCGCTGCTCTTACTGCGCGTTAGCTTGTTTTGACTTGGGAGTCATGTCTAAGACATTAGAGTAAGACAGAGAGAGATACAGATGGAGATAGAGAGAGAGAGAGAGAGAGAGGGACAGGAGCAGCAACAGCATTGCCCAAAAATCATGAATGAACATCGTGGCCCGGCGTAAAGTGGCCCTAATCTAAGGCTTGATATATTGTCTGATCGACGATATCAGATATTGGGCCAGGGTCAGGCAGCCCAGTGTCCCTGCGCGTCATTTTATTTCGTTACCTAATCTAAAGAAGATTCTGATAAGATTTGATACGATTCGAAACATTGCTCCGCTGTCCACGGGCCAGAAGTGTGCTGGGAGTTTTTTTTATTTGTTCCCCCATTTGACGCTGCTCAAGTGTCGCTCACATTGACTGAGACTGAGACCGGCCGCAACCGAGGCGTTGACTGCGCCGCGCGGCAGCGACGCTTACAGCGCAGCACCGCAGACCGTGCGCCGGGAACGTGTTCGAGTGGGCCGAGCGTAAAGAAAGCGCCGACTGCGCGAATGCCAATGCCACATATATAAATGTAGTTGGCAGCGTCGGCTCAGCGTTCAGTCGATCTGTAAACAGCAAACGCGACGCGTCCTAGCCAGCCCAGCAGCGGATCTATCAGCGATCACGATCGATCCACTCATTGGCTAGAAATAATCAATTTGTGTTTCCCATTTGACTGCAGTTAAAATGCAAAGAAACGAATTAGGCACGATCGATACTCGGCCAATTGTGCGGCACTAAAAGCGAGCAGAGCGGGGGAATTCGCTACGCCACATTAAACAGATGCTAAAAAAAAACAAGCATAAATAAATAATATAATATAATATATATAAAAACAAATATCAGTATATGACAAATATAATTTGCGCGCAACGGTCATAAAAAGTGCTAAAAACAATTTTGAGAACATAAAATATAAAAGTGCAAAATATCACTAAAATATATATAAAATATTTCTTCTATTAAATATAAATAATATATATCGAAAATGAAGTTCATTTGCTGCGGGAGCAAGGGCGCCATGGCGGTCAACGATAATGCCGCTAATATAGACAGCAAAAAGGAAGCAGAAGCCGAGGCTGGCACAAGTAAGTGGAAAATGGAAAAGGAATTACGATATAAGAATGCATGCAGAAAAGATTTAAAAAGGCTTAGAAGTTGTTAATTATAATTTACTGAAGGAAGATTAAAAATATAAGTGAAAGAGAATAGATGGATGTAAGAAAAAAAATAAAAATAAAATAAATAATACTATAATAAAGTTGTTAGATGATAGGACTATAGGCAGTACAAATTTTATTTTATTATATATTTTATTATTATAAAAAAAAAAAAAATAATAATAATTTTAAGTTACAAAAGTGCGAGAACAAGAATAAAGTCTATTACCAAATAGATAATGAGATCTAAAAAGTTGTTTAAATGCTTTATAAGAATAATCACATATTTGTGGAATATAGAACAAATATCTAGGTGAAAGTGTATATAAACCATGTAGAGAAATTTAAATAGCTTCAAGTTTCTTGCGAAGGTTTTTAAAATTAGTCTATCACGCAAACATTTTAGTGCATGAATGTAGAACAAAGCCCCAAAGTTTATATTGTTATTCTAAAAACCTTAGCAAAATATAAATGTTATGGAACATTGAAATTTGATATATTTTGCAAAAATTTCCGTTTGTAAATTATATTTATATTTGCACGTCTTTATGCGAATACCACTAAAAACCTGTTTACAAATGGGTTGCTAAACCTATAAATAATTCAAACTTTTTGTGACGCGGGGGCTTTTTGTCCCAAAAAAAACGTAATAATTTACGCAAATTCAAAAATCACTCAGCTATAAATAAATAAAAAAGTACCTTAAATAGAAAAAAAAATTGAAGTAAAGCGGATTTTTTTTTTTGTAAATCATATTTTGATCTATCGACGCTTGAATGACATGCAAATCGTTTTCTGGTGAAATATTTTGTTTATTGTTGTTTACTATTTTTGTTGGTGCACTTCAAGTTTTCATGCTCAAGTGAAGTGAAATTTTGTTGTTGCTGCTTGAGGCTCTCTTGTTAAATGTGGAGTGAAATTGTTTACGATTTGGTCAAAAGCGGCGGCTCAAAGCGAAACGTGACTTGGCTGATGATATACAACAATAAATGATATTATGAATATTATGGATTAGCCGCCGCTAATTATTTAATATACTTGGCATGGGCATAAATAAAGCTGCGCTCGATATACAATTTGGTCTGGATATCATATCGCCCGAGACAGGAAACTGACAGCAAACAGCAAACGATTAACTGGCCACAGCTACAACAACGGCAAACATTTGCTCGTCAGAAGTTTATATGCAAATTTGTCGAGCAATTGGAGCTTGTCTACGCTGTCTAGCCGCTGTTGAACAATGAGCAGGCAAACAAACGATCGACCGACAAGCAGTCTGTCAAGATTCTCAAGAGACAGGCGCTGTCTCTCGCACACACACACACACGCTCTCTCTCTCTCTCTCTCTCGCTCTCTTTTGCTGTCACTCTAGTTACACGTTTGGTATAGATCAACTTTAATGAGCGCTAGATTTTGAGTTAGCTAACTGCCAACTAGAGTAACTTTCTTTGAACAATTAGCTACGTATATGGCTAAAACATAAATCTCGCATATTTACTAAAAACACAAACACACACACATACAGATATTTAATGTTCCTGGTTTGACTAATCTGGGTTGCAAATATAACAGCTGCCAGCGGAGTTATAAACAATTAAAAAAGGGATCGATTGCTAATTACAGGAAGGCGCTGAGTACTGCTCTTACAGAGTTCAGAATATGTATGTAAAATGTATATACAAAAATATTTATATATATATATATGTGTATATATAAATTCATTTGCATTTTGTTATTTTTTGTCAACACTTGACATGCCTTCCGTACGTACATAAATTATATATATATATATTAACAGCGATGCCAACTTTTGATTCTGTAATTGTAATATACTTTACAAAATCAAATGGAAAATCTTACGAATTGCAAATTATTCAGCGCTGGCAAGGTAGGCGCCAGGCGCCAGGCGCCGGCACAAGGCGTTAGGTTTATGTTTATGTTGACACCAGCACAGCAGGTGAACACGCACACACGCACACTTGACACACAATCGAGTGACAAGTTCAAAGTTGTCTAGGCGACTAAATGAGATACAGTTAAAGCAGCAGATATAGCTGGAGCTAGAGATGCTGATATAAATAAACATAGACAGATATAAAGATAGATAAAGATATAGTTAGAGCTGCAGCTATAGCTAGCTACACAGCTACAACAACATATACATACATACATAGCTTTCCATGCAGCTGCTAACTAAAACACACTCTGCGGTTTGGCACAAAAAAAAAAAAAATAAATAAATAAACAAAAAACCCCAAAAAGCCGTCTGAGCATGCGCAAAGTGCATGATGGACCCTCGCTCGGTGACATCGTGTTATTTTCATTTAATTATTGCTTTTTGGACAGCCAACATGATCTATAATTCAGATTTGACACCTCATATCCGACAAGCGTTGACTTTATCTGCTTTGCCATTATCAATTAGCTCTATCTGATGGACATTTCAAAGTCGTTGTAAGACAATAAATAGCGAAGGCAGAGAACAAAAGCTGCATTAACTCAGAAGTGCTTCAGGCTTATCAACGTCACTTGAGCGTGCGATCCATGGCGTATACGCAATATTTACACTGGCCAGCTATCGGCTATCAGTAATGCGAATCGATACGTAACGATTTAAAGCCCTTGATAGGAAAGCAAAAGGTACTCGAACTCGGCACGATCCACAAACCATTTTAATGCGATATTCACACGAAAACGTGCCACGCTCCTCAGATGTGTGAGAAAAAATAAATAAACCCAACTAAATAATTGATATTAGATTTGCCAGTGCAATTGCATTCATTTAATTGCGAGCAGTCAACTTTAACGGCAGCCCAGCTCAGCTTATACATAATGCAAAGAACTTAAAGCTTAGTCAATGTCGAAAGCTCTTTGGTTTGGCAGTCAACAAGACCAGCACAGCTTTTGTCTGCTTAAATGTTGCAAAAGCTTTGCTTGAAAGCTTTAACAGAAAGCATTGCCAGCTGAAAAGAACTCACGGCTGCTAATGGATTATTTTGAAATACTGATGCTGAATTTCTCTGTAGAATATTTTTTTGAGTACTAAAATATTTTTTAAATATGTATATACTTCATAGAAAAGTTTATTATTGTAAATATTATATATATATTTAATTTTGTATATATTTTTATATATCTTATTTTAGCTTTTAAACTCTAAACTTTATGGCCATATTTTAGTTGAAGTTTATGAAAATTTCCAATAATAATTATTAGTTTTTAGTTTATTAACAACCTTAATTGATCATAATTAATTGCGTATTTAGAGATTAGCTAGATAAGCTATGTATATATTTTATAGCTATATTTGATTAATAATTCTATTAATAAACAGCCCTGCTGGAGCCACACAGATCAGCTAGATAAGCCCTATAGTTGACAATTATGTGATTGACAGCATTTGATTCCTGATTGATTGTTATTAAGTGCACTCAAGAAGCTGTAGATAGATAGACGACATAGGCCTAGCTACAGGCTAAAGTTCTAGAGCTATAAAAATGAAATTTACGAGCGCACATGTAGATAGACAGAGTCTATATTAGATTACACACTCATCTCGTTAAACAAGTGAACGCTCGCATGGTGTTGGAAAATATTGAAATTTGTTGTTTGCACAGTTGAGATGCGCTCGAAGACATCAATAGGTTAGTTATTGAACAGGCTCCGTGGCGTGCGGTCAGAGCAGTTTTCACCGAGCATCATCATCATACTAAATAAGGAAGCAACTGAATTGAAAACAAATATCAATACTGATTAAGTTACCTAATCAACAAGTTTTCACTTTCAATTTATACCAACATGGTCAAGAATCGTCGCTATGAAGAGGACGCAGGTACTTGATGAAGAAGAACTGACGAGGCTGCAATTTAATTCGATTCAATTGTTTGTGGAAATAGTTCAATTAAACAAATATTTAAACAGCTCTCCAAGCTGGGGCTGCGCGCACATATTAAAATTCTGTTACGCTTCAATGGAGCCCGAGTTGATTCAGAAAACATTTAAAGGCAAATCTAACTGGTTCTGTAAAGCATTGTGATCTCCAGCTGAGACAAATATTTGTTAACAAGTCAACCTATTTAATGTGAAGAATTATTATATAACTGCAATGGTTGGAGCTTTAACTGAAGCGGAACTCAATCACATAGTTAGCGCTACTATCAAGCTCTTCTAATCTCTCTAAACTTGTAATCGCTATGATAAGCAAATTCACCTGTTAGACGAGCCCCTCTTGGCTTTTGGCAATGTCATAGGCAGTTGGAAAAAAGTAGCACAAAGCGGTTATATCTCATCTATCAGAGGCGAGGACTTATCTTAAATGTACTCGGTAGTTGAGCAGCAGGGGGCGTAGGACGTGAGGCGTGGCTGTGACGACAGAAGAGGCGCCAGCGAAACAATCTCTGTGTGAATGGAATATTTTCTCCTTTTTTTATTTTCTAAATTAAACACGGGTAGTCGGGCAATCTGATGATAAGCTATATCGTAAAGTTGCTTGTGATATGCGTGATGGCAAGAGTGGAGAACGTGATATACGATTATGTATGGGCAGCCACGTGCCAATGTGTGGTTAGGCTAAGGCTTGTTTTTGGGGTAATTCCAGTGATTTCAAGTGCTACGCAAAAGAACAGCAACAGGCTAATGACCTACAGGCGACCTACAGCCAATATGGCTGATAGCAGAGCATATATTGAAGGCGTCAATCATTCATTGATTAACGCTGAGTGTATGTAAATACATTTGTATATAGTACACACACACACGCATACACATGCATGCTCTATGGCATTATACTGTGACTCAAGTTGAAGTTCAATATTCCGTTTGATAATCGCCTTGAATCACGTCTAATCGCAATCTATTTTCAGCATATGGTCTGGGCGTCCGGCACTGGCAAACTTTCCTGTTTTTCTTCGCACTGACGGTGGCCTATGCCCAGCGCGTCAATCTGTCTGTGGCCCTGGTGGCCATGACAGATGCCGCTGCCGCCAATCCCGATTTTCCGGTACGTGGTCAATATATATATATATATGAATCATATGATTTATATCGGTTTGTTTCGCTCCCTTGCAGGAGTACGCATGGCCAGAGAAGACTAAGTCCTTGATCTTGAGCAGCTTCTTTTGGGGCTATGTGCTGACCCAGGTGCCCTCCGGTCAGCTGGCTCGCAAATTTGGCGGCAAGGTCACGCTGCTGGTGGGTCTGTCCATCTGCTCCGTGCTCAATGTGCTGACGCCCATCTTTGCCCGTTGGGGCGACTGGCAATTGGTTTGCGCGTTGCGTGTCGTTGAGGGCTTGTGCCAGGGCGTGGTCTTTCCATCGGTGCACACGCTCATCTCCGCCTGGGTGCCGCCCAATGAGCGGCCTGTGCTGGGCACCTGCGCCTATGCGGGCAACCAGTTCGGCACGATCGTCATGATGGCCACGAGTGGCCTGCTGGCCTCCTCCTCCGCTGGCTGGCCGAGCATCTTCTACGTTTCCGGCGGCGTCGGCCTCGTCTGGGCCATTCTATTCTTCATCTGGGGCGCCAGCTCACCGGCGCACTACAAGAAGATCTCCGCGGAGGAGCGCAAAATGATCGAGCTGGCACAGGCGAGCGAATCCGTATCGGAGCAGCCCAAGGAGAAGCTGCACACGCCCTGGCTCAGTTTCTTCACGTCGCCGGCCTTCCTGGCGCTGATCGTGGCGCACAGCGCCAACAACTGGGGCTTCTGGACGCTGCTCACCGAAATTCCCAGCTACATGAAGAACGTCCTCGGCAAGGACATCAAATCGAATGCGCTGCTCTCCGCACTGCCCTACTTCGCCATGTTCTGCATGTCGTTCATCTTCTCGGCCATTGCCATGCAGCTGAACAAGCGCAACTGCATCTCGACCGTGGTTAGCCGGAAGCTCTTCAACTCGCTTGGCATGTGGGTGTCGATGTGCTCGCTCATCGGCCTGGCCTACGTCACCGCCGATCAGAGCACTATGGCTGTCGCCCTGCTAACCGTGACTGTCGGCTTCAATGGCGCCTGCTATCTGGGCTTCCAGATCAATCACATCGATCTCTCGCCCAATTTCGCCGGCATTCTGATGGGCATCACCAACTGTGTGAGCAACATTATGAGCATCATAGCACCTCTACTTGTCGGCTTCATTGTGACCAATGAGGTAGGTTGAAAGAGAGAGAGAGAGAGAGAGAGCAGGAGAGACATAGAGAGAGTGGGAGATAGAGACAGTCATAATATTAATTGCTTTTCTTTCTGCAGCACGATGTGGAGCAGTGGCGCATTGTCTTCTTCATTGCAGCGGCCATCTATCTGGTGGGCAATGGTCTGTTCGTCATCTTTGGACGTGCGAGTGTGCAGCCCTGGAACGATCCGCCAGCCAAGCCACGTCGCAACTCTACGCCTCAGGTTGAGTCTCAGCACTAGAGACTCATGGAGAGTAAGAGCGAGCAAACATGAGAGAGAGAGAAAGAGATGAGAGCGAGTGAGAGAGAGAGAGAGAGTCTAGCTAGTCATCTAGTTAACATTTCCAACCCACTAACTGCCTCGGTCCGCTTTGTTCGACTGAAGCTCATCAATTTAAATGTAATTCGAGTTTTGATGTATTCTAGCATCATTTGCTATTCGCATATATCTATATATGTATATGTATAATTACTATTTGAATTTGTCGTCTTAAGTTTAGTGCGTAGTCCCTAGTGCTAAGTGCCTGTTGCATATGTATATAAAGACCAAATAACGAAACTGAAAAATACAACAATAAGGTGTTAAGAAACCAATGGAATGTGTCTTAAATGGATTATTTGTGGGGAGGGAGTACTTCAGTGAAACTCAGCTGGAGGAACTAATATATTTAAGATAACATGGTGGATGGATGGTAATGGAAAATGGAGCACTTGAATAAAGTTTTTATACTCCTTCTATTTTATTTTGATTTCCCAATGCAAAGTGTAGCAGGAATTACTAAAATCTACTTCAAATCAAAACTTGCCTGAGTCTGTAATGCTGTCGATTCCCATGTCGTTCTCTTGGACAGCTTTGCTCCCTCTTTTCGCTGTATTTGGCCTACAGCAATAGACCCGTGTGCACTTTCTAGTAAGCCTCGCACCTTTTTCAGCTATCTAATCTGAAGTCGAGTTTACATATGTCAATCAAACGAGGCGTCAGCAGTCAAGCGACTCTGACAGTTGCAGGCGACAAGGGGTTAATCCAAATTTATGAAGCCAAAACACTTGACTCAAGATGCTTTACAAGATGATGTGCATCATCTAGTTGGTTAAGAGTTTTCAGAGCGAAAGGAACGCAAGACTCAAATATCATGTCAGGGAATATTAAGATGCCTAAGAATCGTCGCTTTGAAGCTGAAGGTACGTTGTCGAGTTATTCGAGTTCAGATAAGCATAGATTCTATGTGAAGAATCGAGGCTGCATCAATTATTGCTTGAGATTTATCTGCTCTAAGAATACCATTGAAGGTGATTTGAATGTCATTGGCCTTTAACTGAAATAGTCGTTAGTTTCTGCATAAATCAGCGAAGCTTAGACTCATGTTTAATATAAATATTTACTGTAATATATTTAACTTTATCAAGCTCATTGCGTCAGCCTTCCAGATCGACTCATTTCCAGTTAAATAAACGTAACGTCACGTAAAAGATAATAATGGACTTGGTCTTCATAAAGATAATCCACACGCGTCTATTGCTTAGGGAGGCTCGTCCATGCTGAGAGTTTTCAGTGGAATGCGAATAGAGAGTCTATGTATATCTATATGTATAGCAACTCTATATATCTTTAATCTAGAGAGTCTACTAGAGTTTCTGTAGAAAGCGAGCTACTCTATATATCCCTACTCTATGGAGTCTACTAGAGTAGATTTATATATTGTACATACTCCACATATCTCTACTCTAGTTATCTCCCCTACTATTTCACTTTTCAGACTCAGCTCTAGGCGAGCGACACATGCAAATATTTCTGCTCTTCTGTGGCCTCATGGTTGGCTTTGCCATGCGTGTCAATCTCTCCGTGGCAATCGTGGCCATGACCGAGCTGCCTGTAAGAAATTTCCCCAGTTCCCAGGCGCAACTCGATTCAATTTAATGCACTCACTTCCTCTAGGAATATTACTGGAGCGAGCGCACAAAGTCTCTGGTCTTGAGCAGCTTCTTTTGGGGCTATGTGCTGACGCAGGTGCCAGCTGGCGTCTTGGCCCGTAAGTTCGGGGCCAAGGCAACGATTGTGACGGGCTTGTCCATCTGCTCCGTGCTGAATGTGTGCACGCCCATCTGTGCGAGCCTGGGCGGCTGGCAGCTGCTCTGCGGCGTGCGTCTGCTCGAGGGCGTCTGTCAGGGCGTGCTCTATCCGTCCTATCACACGCTGATCTCGGCCTGGGTGCAGCCCAGTGAGCGCGCCTCGCTGGGCACCTATGCCTACATGGGCGCTCAATTCGGCACCATTGTCATGTTGGCCACCAGCGGCATATTGGCCTCCCTGGCTGGTTGGGCGAGCATCTTCTATATTTTCGGTGGCGTTGGCTGCCTTTGGGTCGCGGCCTATTGGCTGCGTGGCTCCAGCTCGCCGGCGCAGTCGAAATATATCTCCGAGGAGGAGCATCAATTGATTGAGCTGGCGCAGGCCAGGGAAGTGGAAACCAAATTGGAGCAGCCCAAGGAGAGTTTGTCCACGCCCTGGATGAGTTTCTTTACGTCGCCGGCCTTTCTGTCGCTCACGGCCACGCATTGCGCCTCCACTTGGGGCTTTTGGACGCTGTTGACACAGATTCCCAACTACATGAAGAATGTGTTGGGCAAGGACATCAAGTCGAATGCGCTGCTCTCCTCGCTGCCCTACACTGTGATGCTGCTGCTCAGCTGGTTCTTTGTGTGGCTCTCCAAGATGCTGCAGAAGAGTTCCATGTCCCTCAGCCTCAGTCGCAAGTTCTTCAATTCCATTGGGCAATTCGTGCCGATGTGCCTGCTGGTTGCATTGGGCTATGTGCCACAGGAGCAGGACACACTGGCCGTCATCCTGCTCTGCCTGACCGTGGGCCTCAACTCCGGCTCCCAGCTGGGCTTTGTCATCAATCACATCGATCTCTCTCCCAATTTCGCCGGCGTTCTGATGGGCATCAGCAATGGCATTGCGAATATCATGAGCATAGCGGGTCCACTCTTAGTTGGCGTTGTTGTTACCAATGAGGTGGGTTGTCCTCATATGGATATATATATGTATATGTATGTCTCTCTAACTCTTCTCTGTCGTTCCATCAACAGCAAGATGCCAGTCAATGGCGCATTGTTTTCTTTGTCACGGCTGCCTTCTATTTGGTGGGCAATGGGCTCTTCCTGATCTTTGGCAGTGCCTCGATTCAGCCATGGAATGATCCAACGGCGAAGAAGCAGCGCAGCCCACAGAGAGAGACGGCAGATAGTTAGGCTTAAGCTTAAGTAGAGCCCATTACTATAATTATTAAGCAATTCAGTTGTGGTATATCTATCAAATGTAACGGTATATCTATTTAAACGATCTACTATAATAAACAAAAATCAAATTTGATAATGAGCCTACACTTCACATCCACTGATAATGCCTCGACAGGCTAAGAGCAACTGCCCCACGCATGTCTGGAATGATTTGAATCAACGTTCAGGTCTATCACTCCCGATTAGACTGGCAGGAAGTCCGATTGCTTGATAATAAACACTTACTGCATAAGCTGGCAATGTCAAGGCGCTATCTAAATAATTCCAGTTACCCCAACGGGAAGTGGGCTTTACTAATTGCAGATATTGTCAATCAATTTGGGGCAATCGGAATTCCCTCTTTCCATAAATCAGCATAATTATCTAATGTCGTAAGTCATTGATATTGTACACGCTCACGCCTGCTGTTCGTCTGCTTCATTCACTTGCCGATTTATTGGGCAAATACTTTAATGCCGTGTCTGACCGCGCGTTTACCCACAGCTCACTATCTTATCAGATCGTAAATATCTATTTGCATAAAAACCAGCGGCATCCTCTGTAATCTGTCGCAGCCTGAGCTGCTGTGAATCTGAATCTCTTTAAAGATACGGAGCAGAGCCATGCATAGACTTAGTTTACATATTAGTTTTGTGCTGTGCGGTGATGCTCTACAGAGGATACACCCAAAAACAAAATGGCGAACAGCAACGGCATAGCAAAGAATCGTCGATTCGAAGATGAAGGTATTTCATTAACAACAGGATTTCTTTAATAAAAAAAAATATAATAAATAAATAAATAAATAAAATAGGCGGAAAAGTTTTCGGTATCTAAAAGAAACTATTCCGAGCTGACGTTATTTTTTTTAACAATTTGGAGTACGTAAACTCCTTCAAAATATCCTTTACTTCAAGATGTTCAACATTTTGTTGCTCTTTTGGTCCTTCGGTTATGTCATTTAGCAAAAGTTCAGTCACATTCTATTTCACAAGGGTAATTCACTTTTAATTTATAGCCCTTATCAAGGCAGATAACTTTCCTTTGCGCGTAATCTGTCATAATACTCTATTCTACCGGAAAAAAATTCCATTGCAGCTTTGCTGAGTAATGGAATAAGTTAATGGAATTATTTGGCCAGAAAGCAAAACAAATAAATAAAAAAAAAATTATTTAAAAAAAGAAATATAAATAAAATTAAATACTATCGATTAAAATTTTTTTTCTAAAAACCATATATTATGTTAAACTAAAAATTAATTTCTTTTGTGATTCGGGAAAAAAATTTACATGCGTATTTCCATTCATTAGATACTTTAATAATTGCAAACATAAATAATATAAAAAATATTTATATTATATTATTATTTTGGGAAAAATTACTCTCAGGCTCTACGAACTTAAATTGATTTCAACAAAAATCTATAAAATGTAGAAAAAGGAAATTAAATTGTTTTACCGATAGCAAAATATATAAGAAACTTTTCACTTTTCTAAGAACCTAAATGGACTTCTGCAAAAATCTATAAAACATGGACTAAGTCAATAAAAAATATATTATTTTTAAGTAATATTTTATAATGCCATTCGCTAACTCAAATTGTTTTCCCTGTCTAGATTCGGGATTTGCCATGCGACACTTGCAGATGCTGTTGATTTTCTGTGGCCTAACGGTTGGCTTTGCGATGCGAGTCAATCTTTCGGTGGCTGTTGTGGCCATGACCAATGCCACGACAGTGAATCCTGATTTTCCGGTATGCCATTTACTCAACTAAAGTGAATTTGTAATCGATTATGTACTCTCTTTCAGGAATACCCCCTGTCGGAGAAGACAAAGTCCTGGGTGCTGAGCAGCTTCTTTTGGGGCTATGTGATGACACAGGTGCTCGCTGGGGCATTGGCGCGTCGCTTTGGCGGCAAGGTCACCCTGCTGACGGGGGTTTCCGTCTGCTCAATCATGAATCTATTGACACCACTCTGCGCCAGCATTGGCGGTTGGTCGTGGCTGTGTGGCCTGCGCTTCATTGAGGGCCTGTGCCAGGGTGTTTTCTATCCCTCATGCCATACGATTATCGCCCATTGGCTGCCGCCAAGGGAGCGAGGCTCGATGACCACCTATGCCTATACCGGAAGTCAATTCGGCACGATTCTCATGCTGGTCACAAGTGGTCTGCTCGCATCCTCAGCCGGTGGCTGGCCGAGCATCTTCTATGCGTCGGGCGGCTGTGGCATCGTTTGGGTCGTCGTCTATTACATTTTGGGCGCCAGTACGCCAAAGGACTCCAAGAGCATTACAGCTGAGGAGGTCCAGTTGATTGAAATGGAGCTGGCCAAAGAGCGAACGGCCAATGCGGAGCTGCCTAGCCATCGGCAAGCGACGCCCTGGCTGAGTATCCTTACCTCGGCTCCATTTCTGGCTCTGACCGCAGCGCATTGTGTCTCGGCCTGGGGCTACTGGACGCTGCTCACGCAAATTCCCAGCTACATGAATAACGTTCTGGGCAAGGACATCAAATCGAATGCTCTGCTCTCCGCTCTGCCCTATCTGGCCAACTTTTTGCTGAGCTTCCCCTTCGTCTGGTTGGCCAAGTGCATGGAGAAGAGCGAATCACTATCGCTGGCCTTCAGTCGAAAGTTCTCCAATACAATTGGTCAATATATACCCATGTGCCTGCTGATCGCATTGGGCTATGTGACCAAGGAGCAGGACACTCTGGCCGTCGTCCTGCTAACATTTACCGTGGGCATCAACACCGCCTGCCACCTGGGCTTCCAGGTGAACCACATCGATCTGTCGCCCAACTTTGCTGGCACTCTGATGGGCATCAGCAATACATTGGCCAGCGTCATGAGTCTCAGTGCACCGCTGTTGGTGGGCGTGATTGTTACCGATAAGGTGGGTTTCACTTGCATTTTGATTTGGATTGATTTTGATCTTCTCTTTTTTCTACATTATTCCCTCAGCACGATGCGGAACAGTGGCGCATTGTGTTTTTTGTGGCCGCTGGCTTTTATCTGGTGGGAAACGGTCTGTTCATTCTCTTTGGACGCGCTGATGTCCAGCCCTGGAATGATCCACCTGCTAAAAGTGATCACAAATCCATACCACAGTTGGAGTCACAAAAATCGGATCACTGTGATAAATGATAACAAGAGATAGCCCACAATTCTTGTTCCTTATCGTACCTCACTTAGTCGTAATCTCCATGAAGGCTGCTGATAGAATCTCAGCTGAGTTTGTAATCTAACTCATATTAATCATATACAGTGTTGTGTTTAGCTTAAGTTTGTGTTGTAAATGCTTGTCATAATTGCCTAAGAGGGAAAGTTAAAACTAATAAATACAAAAAAGAAATTAACAAAACAAAAAAAAGTGATTTTAGAATTTCCAAAAACTCAATTATGATCGAGATGCGCCATAGATGTAAGGCTATAAATGAAATCAAATCGATCTATAGGCAAGGACAGCACTAACTTAGCTCTGAACTTCGATTAAATAACTGATTGACCATCAGGAATTAGGGTTCTAGCTAATATATCAGATATAATTGCGATATATCGGAAAACCCCAACCCAATAAACTTTTCGCTCTGTCATCTCTTCACTATGAACTCCTACATATGTTATACCATATTATTAAAGTCCAAAAAAGTTTTTGCCTGATCATCGCATAATAGTTTTGTGGATATATTTAAAGAGTCGCGTCTTATCTAATCATATTATAAATAAGACTATTTACTTAAGATGCATAAATACAGAAGCTGTCAAGCATTGTTGCAGCAGTCGTAATATCTTCGTCGGACTTCTAGTTACTAAAAAGATCTTGTGGAGTGCGGTAATGCAGCTCATTGAAGACGGAATATAAAAGGAATATACTTAACGGGAATGTCAAAGGAATCCAGTCAAAAGGAATACAGGATGGTGAAGAATCGTCGCTTTGAAAATAAATGTAAGTAAAGGACAGTAAAAGGAAAGTAAGGTTCATAGAAAAAAGCTGGAAATCACAGATAAAATAAAGGCCAAAACAGTAAAAAATTTGTATATAAAAAAGAATATTATCAAAAATAAATTCACACTTAAAACTTAAAAATATATTGCAAATAAATATATATATAATTTCTTTGTAAATTACAAAACTAATTCCAAAAGAAATCACTTTCAAGTGATGTTTCCTAGCCTTGAGATAAGCGATAATCATGTCAATGTGAAGACATTGCAAAACTGTTAGATAAGCTTGGCCTTGTGGGCCTATAAATCAAACGCTGCTGTGGAGCAACGGCTATAAAACTGTTTATCTCTTGATCTAGCAGCTACTGGATATGGCATACGACATTTACAAATCCTGCTGCTCTTTGCCGCTCTGACCGTGGGCTTCGCAATGCGAGTGAATCTATCTGTGGCGATTGTGGCCATGGCCGAATTTCCCGTAAGTGGAGATTGAAATTGAATAGAAGGGAGCTTGACTTACCTGCGTATATAAACTCCCTCCTTATAGGAATACAACTGGTCGGAGAGAATCAAATCCCTGGTGCTGAGCAGCTTCTTTTGGGGCTATGTGACCACACAGGTGCCAGCCGGTCCGCTGGCTCGTCGATTTGGTGGCAAGGTGACAATCCTGAGCGGACTATCCATTTGCTCCGTGCTGACTGTTCTGACGCCACTCTGCGTGCGGCTGGGCGGCTGGCAAGTGCTCTGCGCTCTGCGCCTGGTTGAGGGCGTCTTTCAGGGCCTGCTCTTCCCCTCCTGCCACACAGTGATCTCGGCCTGGGTGCCGCCCAATGAGCGTGCCACCATGGGAAACTTCGCCTATGTCGGCTTTCAGTTTGGAACGATTGTCATGCTGGCCACCAGTGGCCTCTTGGCCTCCATGGGCGGCTGGCCGAGCATCTTCTATGCATCGGGGGCAGCTGGCTGCCTGTGGTCGGTGGCTTATTATTTCTGGGGCGCCAGTACGCCGGCTCAATCCAAGAGGATAACGCCAGAGGAGAGGGAGCTCATTGAGCTGGGACATGCGAGCGAGCGAACTGAAGATGCGGAGCTACCGAGCCATCATCAGATTACGCCGTGGCTCAGTTTCTTCAAGTCACCAGCTGTGCTGGCCTTGATTGCCGTGCAATCTGCCTATGCCTTCGGATTCTGGACTCTGCTGACCCAGATACCCAGCTACATGAAGAACGTCTTGGGCAAGGACATCAAGGCGAATGCCCTGCTCTCGGCGTTGCCCTATGCGACCATGTTTGTGCTCAGCTTTGTGTTCGCTTGGCTCTCCAAGCGACTGCAGCGAACGGAATGCGTTTCGCTCTCGTGGAATCGAAAGTTGTTCAACTCGATTGGGATGCTGGGTCCGATGGGTCTGCTCATTGCGTTGGGCTATGTGCCGGCCAGCATGGATACGTTGGCTGTGGTACTGCTCACCTTCACCGTGGCCATCGGGTCTGCCAGCAACTCGGGTTTCCTGATCAACCACATCGATCTGTCGCCCAACTTTGCGGGCATCATCATGGGCATCTGCAACTGCTTCGCCAACTGCATGAGTCTGGCTGCTCCGCTCGTTGTGGGCGGCATTGTAACCGATAATGTGAGTCTTATACTTCCATTCATGATTTCATTATATTCATTATATTCGTTATATTCAATGTTCATTTCCAGAACAATGTCCAACAGTGGCGTCAGGTGTTCTTCTTGGCCGCCGGCATCTATTTTGTGGGCAACGCCCTCTTCGTCATCTTTGGTCGCACGAGCGTTCAGCCTTGGAACGATCCACCAGCCAAGCTGAGAAAGAACTCAACAGCTGAGCTGGAAGCACAAGATCAAAACTGATTACTGAGATTAGAGATTATTTTAGCACATTTGTATTGGTGTTATACACTATTTAAGCGTATTGCTGATTGGTTAAAAAAATGAAGAAAAATAAAACATAAAAATACGTAAAAGAATATCGTTAACACTTGATTTAGGATCTCAGGCAAAATGTAAAATTTGTTAGACACCAGTAATTCTTTTATTTAGCTTGCCATCTATCGGATAATTTTGGCACTACTTCAAAGTAGTTTGCATAGCCTACTTTTAGGCTTATATATATTCTGTAGTCAGTGCATGATAGACGAAGAGAATTATTATAGCTCTTATTTGGGTGACAGACTACATTAACAATTAATATAGTTGGATAGGGCAAACGTGAGGCGTGACAATTTATAAAGTTTGTAAATAAAATATTATTAAAAAAAAAATAGAAAAGTATTTTTTTAATAAATATTTTATGAATTTGTAATAGATTTTTATACCAATTGCTGTGCAAAGAATATAATACAATTAAATATGAGTTATGAATATAATTTTATTTGACATTTTATTCGGAAGTACATTTAAAATTAAAGTATATTTATGTATGTATATATTTTCATGTATTTTCATAGTTTTTTTCTATGTATATTTGCACTCAACTATATTTATAAATATCTATATATATTTACATACCACCGCATCAATAATAGTATATAATATTATGAAGCACAAAAAAAATATAATCAACAGACTTTAAGTGAATAATAATGTAATTATGGTTTACCTAGGTTGTGCAATCGAGTTTCTAGTAATTTAATTATACAAATATACGCGATTCCCCATCAAATTTCTGGCATGTCAATTTAAGTTGAGCAAAAACGACTTGAATTTGCATACTGTTTGACATTTTTTTTTTTTATACCGTTTTTTATTCAGTTTTATTTGGTGACTTGGGGCAATTAAGCCGCTCTAGACCGGCCTTTGATAGCAAATGTTTGTGCACACTTTATGGCTATGAAATGGGCCCGCATGGCAAATGTGGAAGTTGCGGTCGTGATCGTGTGACGCGAACCTGTTGATAAGCGGCTGAATTTGAATTTGAATAGGCGCACGCGATATGGACCTCACACACAGAGAGACAGAAATACACAGGCACACACACAAACACGCACAGTAATACCCGTATTTAACTGTATTTGTGTACACAGAAACACGCTGGAATATTTTAGATTACGAAATACACCAGAACACGGCACGACTTCTAAATATATACGCATAATAAAACGGTAAATTTCGAGTAAAAAAAATCACAGCGAGAAGAGCTTATAAATTATGACTAAATAAACATTAATACAAACATACTTACATATATATGTATGTATGCAAAGGATTCCCAAAAATTGCGAAATTGATTAACAACAAAATTAACTGGTTTTTTGGCAGTTTCCATTTGCAGCCTCGTGCCGTGAAGAGGAAATGAGAACGGCAAGACGTGGCAGCGGTTGGCGTGTGCTGCACGAGCAGCTGTTCTGCAAAAACAAAAACCCCAAAACTTGCCGATAATGAAGAGCGTTTAATTCGAATATTAACGCAGTTATTTATACGATTTGCAGTCAACAAGCAGCTCCAATCGACAGATGCTATCAGCTTCACAGTGCAAATAATATAAGCCACTCGCCATATCAGTTGACGCTGCGCCCTGTGCCTCTTTTTCCAATAGCTGACATGGAATTGAGTTCTTGAGTTCTTGTTGAATGCGGACGGTAGCGGCTGCAGCGGGGCAAAGGGCCCAACGATGGGCTTAAAATTACATTTTATCTGCATCCGAAGTACTTTATTGTCTGGCAACGCAGCATGACTCAAAGCTAATGAGCGCCAGCTTCAGTGGTGAAATCGTAATCGAACAGGGGACGCCCCTGTGTCACTCCTTCTCTCTCGCTCTAACTATTACTCTCTCATTCGCTTTTGTATGCATATTGTGTGTGTGTGAGTGTGTGTTTATTTTGATTCCAGCCTGCACATTTACGTCATTCCAAAGGCGTTGGACTCCATTCCAAAATCGAATTTCTGCAAATCATTTTGCATGGTGAGCGCAAAGAGCACTACAAAAAATCAACAACAACAATAAAGCTCTCGTGTGAGTTAGACAGAGAGACGTACCAAACTAGAGCGGGGGCAACACAGTCAGCGTTAACGCCAACGTCAGCGTCGGCCGAGAGCCGATTGGCATTGTACACTTGCGCATCACGTGAACGTGCTCGTCGTCGGCTGTGTGTCGAGCCGAACGTGTGAGAAACGTGATCAAAGATCACGCCGAGAGCGAGAGAGTAGAAGAGCGAGCGTGCGCACACAAACGTTCGTCAAATGAGCACGCGAGAGTGGGTGCGCCATGGCTGTATATTGAATATATGCGTGTGGGTGTGTATGTGTGTTGAAATATAACACATTGAGTGTGTGTGGGTATGTGTATGCATACAAATGGCAAGAAATTAACACTGTGCGGCGCCAAAGCTATTGCCGCTCTTGTTGCCGGCACAGCAAGCGTTGGCACCATTGACTTTGACGCGCGCGCGCCCTATCTCTCTCACACTCACTCACTTACGCTCTCTAGTTCGCTCTCAGCAGGTCTTTTGAATTTTCTTCCTGCGCCATTGTCTGTACAGGCAGTCGCTCTCTCTCTCTCTCTCTCTCTCTCTGTATGTCCATCGCTCTGCCTGGCTTTGTCATTAAGGTTATCGCAAATTGTTTTGCGAAATTCAATGTTGACTTTCATGCTACGCGATGTTATTAACAATATTGTAGAGCTTGTTTAATATTAAATATACACATATATATTTTTTTCAATTTTTGCCGATAGCCATCTCATTAAAAAAGGTAAAATTCAACCGGATTGCTATAAAAATATAAAAAACAGTTACTGACTTGTGTGCTAATCATCATCTATGCACTGTCACGCTGTTTCACTATTTTTTTATTCATGAATCAAGTTGCCTTGTGACAAAGTTATTAAGTTTTTATACCCTGAACCCATTGAAAATGGGAAATCAGGGTATAATGGTTT